AAATCGTTCACTTCAAAAGGTTGTAAATTTGATGTAAATATCATGTAAGTGTCCAAAATGATGTAAATTTGATGCTTAAATTTGATGTAAATTTACATCATTTTGGACACTTACATAATATTTACATCAAATTTACAACCTTAAAAGTGCGCAATTTTTTCCAGTGTATCTTGCTATTTTCACTCTGTACCACATTGTTTGAAGTTGTAACATGAACTGCTCGATGCATGAATCAGTGCAATTTGGTGCGGCTGTGCAGTTGCATGGCAACGTCTAGCCTGTGTTACATCCGCAATCAGTTCAGACAGAAATTCCCTATGCAACACATGCGTGCTGCACCTCATAAAAAAAACTCCATGCGGAATCAAAGGTCGAGAATGCGCGTTCCAAGGAGTTTTGTTGTTGTTCAGGACGGTCTTTGCTGCCTTGGTCAACCTGATGACATCGAGGAATTGTCACATTTGATCGGGAAGTGGATGAAACCCAAGGATCTTATGGAGGTAAATCTTTAGTATTTTTTTTACTCGTTCAGAATTTGTTTTAATGCTTTCTAAAGTCAGTTAAATTTGATCAATGAACTCTATTGTTATTGGATACCATTGGAGTCTAGAATCAATTCTTATTCTTATATTCCTATTTTGAATCCCTACCGGATTCAACCTTCGTAGCAGAGCTCTTTCGTCTACAGGGATCCCAAGCGGGCCGCTACTACCAAATCACTGCGGTCTGCAAATAAGAAACTTCTTTTAGTTCCCACTTTCAGCCTTAACCCTTTCGCAACGCGACGCATTTACGGTGCATATGATAATTTACTGTAACACTTCGTGCCATTGTATCGCCATTTTTTGTAATGTCTGACCCCTGGAATGTATTACAATATTAGAGAATCCCAACCAACCACAATACAGCGCGCGCTCGTGTTATTGTTTACATACGAGACACCATCTCTTCCCCAGGGCTCTCTCTTCTCGTAACTGAACTTGTTCTTCGTCAATCTGCGTGACATTTAGCTTTACGTGAAAAGTACAATAATGGACTTGAAGAAATCGTATGAATCCGCCGTTTTCATGCCCAGCTATAACGGCGCCCCGGCTCGTAAAGTACAGCGGTTCGTTGTGATTCTTTAAGCCATCATGGCGACAATTTCAAATATAACTTACATACATTCGATACTCATTCATTATTCATGGTCTATGAGTTGAGTCGATAATACTGTCAAGTTTTTTACAAATTTCTTTTTTAATTTAATTTTTTTAAGTCTTTAAAAGCTGCTGGTGTCAATGTTTTCCCCGCTGAAGACGCGGACAAGTACGTCAGTATCAACAAGAAGGTATTGTAGGACATTATTGTAGTATATCTTTCTCTTTTGACAATGAGAATTGCTTCAGATAAATCACCAAAAACATCGCAAAAAAGTGATATCTTCCACACGTGAAATACGACACGTTACCACGGATACTTCGTACAAAATTGACCTATTTCTTGCCTTATAGATATAAATATTGAGTTTATAAACAGTTTGCTTATATTAATGCAATACCCAAAGATAAAATTCGTATCTCCGCGCGCCCATGTAATAATATGAACATTTGAAAAAGGGCGTGGCTGTCGAGACACCAGAGTTTATAAGYTGTTTAGTGTATAATTACTACCCGTTGAAAGAACATAATATAATGAGTAATATCTGAAAGTATCAATGCTCTAACATTTACAGGTGTTTGAAATTGCAAAGGTTTGAGTGAAAATCAGTATTGAGGCCTAAAACAGCCTCGTTTTCACGTTTTTGATACGTTTTAAGTCCCCATATAGCTCTGCCGGTATTTTACYATTTCAAGCTCATTCCCAGTCTTCTGCTCGTTTTTCCTATGGTCAATACGTCAATATGTGTGTATGTATTGGTTTCAGGACGATAGGCTTGAGAAAGAGATGTACCAAGAAATGTCTCTCACAGCGTCAGCSTTTGCTTATAGTTGGAGTAAATGGAACGCTGAATCAGGAGAAGATAGGATTGTACTGCAAACTACTGAACAACTACAAGATGAGATGTTATTGGAGGTAAACATTCTTTTTAAACGCCCAGTTTGCACCATTATGCTTTGCGCGGCTCTGTTATTGTAATATTTTACACCAAAAAAACTTCTAGTATCCAAATATCATCATAAAACGAATTTCAGATGGTTGAAAACTCTTCTATTAACGTTTAAAGTGCTTAGAAAAGTGAGATGGTCAAAGATTCAAAACACACAGTACAATTTATAGACTTTCGGTAAACTGAAAATGGCCGTCTCCTGACCCTCGCGGCCCCCAAAGCATAATGGTGCACACTGGGCCTTTAACAGCATCAGTCTACGGGGAGGCTTAGAGATTGTCTATATATTATTAGGCGCCATTTTTATCTCAAACTGGGAATACGTGGGCTATTCACATTGTAAACTCCCCTTTATTCCGTTGGGGTTGGGGACTTGGTTTTAATAACTTGATGCATTCCCCTGTTTTGTAAATTTGATACTGTTAAATGAAACATAAGTTTTCAGCTTTGATGAAACACTAATGCTGAAGAATTTCTGAAAAATCAACTTGGTATTATGTTAGTTGCTTTTGTAAANACAGGGAACCCAATATAGTACAAGAGTGCTTATATTTAATATTGTTTGCCTTTGCGACATGCCTTCCTGAAAATAGTTTTTACGTCTAGAAAGGCTTATTCTGATAGTAAATAATGTTTTTCAAGTATTTTATCTTTACGAACARGCAAAAACTATCAAAAGCTAGCTGAAGTTAGCTAGCATTTTTGACACATCGGCAAATAAGTCAAAATTTTGTATTTTGTATTTGTTTCTTTAATTGTCTTGTAACAGTTTTGTATTTATTTTTCTATGTAAAAATGCAGTAAATGCACAAAAGGACTTTGAATGATGTTCGAACAATCACAATAACTAATTACTGATATAATTTCTTGGTAAACATATTCTCAAGTATTTACAAAATATACTACTAAACTGTTAAACTTGAGCCAGCATTGTTTGTAAAGATCTGCGGACATTGGAGAAATCTTGCGCTTGCTGAAAAAAAAAAAAGAAAGAAAAATGAATAAAGAAAATGTTATAAAAATCAAATATGTGAAAATAAGAATGTAATTTGCTATGTAATAGAGCGGATTTCGTATGAGTGGGACACCGTTACCGCACGGTTACCGCACAGTTACCGGACCTGGCCTGCACAATTTTGGTGAACCAATGGGGCACTAGAATTTGGTTACAGTACGATTACGGTCACCGTGCAGTACCGTCCGTTTCCCACTCATACGAAATCCGCTCTATTTCGTATGAGGACAATGATGTTGTCAACTAATGCCACGGCGAAAAGATAAGTTTTGGTCTATCATTGTATCAACTTCTATCTATGACTTAGAGACCGCCTTATCCAAAGGATTTAACGGATGATCAGTTGAATTCGAAGGTTTTGGGTGATATTTGTCGTGTAAAAGGTCACGCCCATCAATACCAGGCACTGGAAAAAATCGGGCGCTTTAAAGGTTGTTAATTTGATGTAAAAACAATGTAAGTGTCCAAAATTCTGTAAATTTAATGGAAATCATCTATTCCATCAAATTTACAGAATTTTGGACACTTACATCATATTTACATGGAATTTACAACCTTTAAAGCGCGCAATTTTTTCCAGTGAGGGCCGGGTTGTTCAAAGCTCGATTAGCGTTAATCCAGGGTTAACTCCATAGATTTTCTAAGAGTTAACCCAGGATTAGCGCTAATCGAGCTTCGAACAACCCGGACCTGCAGTACTGATACTACTTTCTCCAGTCTATTTATTTTAATGTTAGAAAGTACCATTTATTAAAAAAAAAATTCTTCAAAATGACTTGAAAAAATCTAGGTTCTTATACGCAGAGATTTAGTGTTGAGAAAACCCGGGATAGAAAATTACAAATCCATGCTTCTTCTTGTGATTCAGTTTTGAACGCTTTTTAAAGTTCTTCATTCCAGTTCATCACATAAGATCCAATTCTCATCCATAATCCTTCTCAGCTTTCCAACGGAAGATCGAAGACTCTGGTTTGAAACCAATAATGATTTTTTGATTTGATTGGTTCAAAAATTCCCTTGCATCATATCATATGAACCGGATTCTGGGTCTTCCGGCCATCGTCTTCAACCAGAGCCTTCAATTTTCCGTTGGGAGAACTGAGGAGGATCTGGGTTCGAGAAATGATAAAATGCCTTTTACCGTGTCCGAAAGAATCTTTTTCTGCAAAACGCTGGTTTCTTTCCTTAGCTGATCAAAGACATTCTGCTTGTATTCTTCTTGGTTTTTCTTGAGTTCCTGAACGTTTTTCATGTAGTCTTCGTGAAGGTGGACTACTCGTTTCAGTCTCTGAGTCTGTGCGGCATGCTGTTGGTTGAATAGCTTGGATTGCTGATGGTA